GGAAAAATATTACGAGAAATAGATTTTTGACAAAACAAAATATTACCAAAAATAAAAATTTTGTTGGCATTAAATAACCCATTGAGTTTGATATGCCGTAAAACAAACCAAACCATTCCTTTTGTCAGATTATTAGTGCAAAGGAACTCACACATTCTATTTTTTGTACTGTTAAGTTGGCCACCAGAACTTCTAGTACTTTTCAGAAATATTTACATGGACCTTTACAATAAATAGCAGATTTGAAAGTAATTATTTTTGCCACCAATTGCATGATAGTCAACAAGTCAGATTACTCTTATAGACTAATTTTTAGCCTCCAAGTCCAGCAGTTTGACTGACCACAAGCAAAAATTTACTGGCTTTATAATATTAGATACCTTTCTAATCATTGGTGCTGTTCAAACAAGAGTGCCACTAACACACTGGAAAATGATATTGAGTTAAATGAGTGAATGATTAAAAATAAATAAAACTTTTACATCTATAAACTGGTGTTACCAAATCCCAAACAAAACAAATAAGAAGCCATAGCCTCCAGTATAAAAAAAGCAGTTATAACCTCCAGTATAAAAATAATTATAATAATTATCATGTGTGGCATAAAATTAAACCAAGTAACAAAAAGTGCATCACTTGAAGATATCCAGCAGCAGCAACAACTAAAATGGATAGTAATTCTAACTAGAAGGGAAAATAATGACATAATCGAAATGTTGACTTTCACACTAGCTTGAATAAAAGGTTTGGAAAGAAACTGTCATCAATACTAGAAAGAATGATAACAGTGGAGAAGTGTAATTTTCTGAAAGCTGTTTTAAGAGAAACATTAGACATATAGTTCAACTGACAGTAATGCTAACTGTTCTGTCAGTGAATGCCAAATGTTTACTGTATGGAAACAGCTAATTTCACCCTAATCACTAACAGCACCATTCCTGTAGCAAAAAAAGCAGCCATAGTCTCCAGTATAAAAAAGCAGTCATAGGCTTCAGTATAAAAATAATTCTAATAATGATCATATGTGGCATAAAGATAAATGTTGTTGAAAATTTTAAAAAGCTTTTTATTTACAATAGCACATCTTTTAAAATGTAGTCAGAATGATTCAGAGGCGTACATAAAGCAAATAACTGAAGCTACAAAGAGTCACATATTTCTGATTGTTATGAAAAGAGAACAAAAAGTCAATTAGGGTGAAACCAGAGTAATTACATTATATCAAGAGCAAATTCATCAAAAAAAATGCAAATATAAAAATCAATTTCCCCAAAATTCTCTTTTATAATGAACCAATAATGCCATTATGTTAAGTGTCAACTCTTTTATTTTAGTCACTTGTTTTAGTGTAAAACAAGATTTTTCTTAATTTGGTCTTCTTTTTAGAAAAAAAAAAAAAGAGTGAATGCTTATATATTTATTATATAACTTTTGTTTTGAACTTTGTATATTTTTTTTACAGTTCTAAAAATTTCATGACTACACATTTACTTTTCAAACACAAAGCAAAATAAAAATGCAATTTTATTTTGCTTTGTGTTTGCAAAATGAATATCATTAACTGGTTACACCCAAAATTTTGAAGGACGCTGAGTACTCCAAATTAGTCATTCACTTTGATTTGTTTTAAAAACTATGAATTTCCTGTTTTAGAAATCAATAGACACACACGCAGACAATCCAACAAATGATTTCATAAGAATATGACAGGGTATAGTTTTTTTTAATTATTTCACCCCATGATAATTCATAAAGTCTAGATACCATAGAGGAAATTCATTAGAACAATTACCATGAAAGTATTTATAGAAAAGGCACAGGGAAGCTATATTATGACAGTGGGAAAGTGACTGAAACTGAGATACCAGATCAGGACCAATAATATTGCAGGTTATTCTTTATATTTTATCTAGAACCTCACCATATTATTTAAATTAGGTTCCTTGACTAGTTTCATGACAGGTTCCTTGACAGCATGGTCATAATCAGGAGAAAAAAAACCCTTGCTTGTTAGTAGCAGTGAACTACAGGAGTGACTGACTGTCTTTGAAGAAAGTGAACTTATATATATATATATATATATATATATATATATATATATATATTGACAATTACAAGACGTCTTACTCTCTATTTGTCATATACAAGTTCTGTTGCACAACATCTAAAAACACATTCCTGTCCTCCTTCACAATAAAAGAAAATATTTGTTGGCAGCACAAATATACTACACCATGAAAATAATAAACAAAAATTTAAATTCTTGATTGAGAACTTTTATATCAAAAGCAACCAACCAATGCAAAAATTTATTATGAGTATTGTGGCAATATTTTAAAACGCATTTGAGTTGACTAACATTTAACACCATGTTGCAATTTACCATCTCTGGTTGTCTCCCCTTGCATTGGAAATGCTTGTTTACAAAGCATCATAACCACAATGATTAATTTTAAAATAATTATAATTATAACAGAGCACATTTAAAAGAACATGTGCTTACAAAAATCACCACCACAACAATTACAATTACAATTATATTAAGTTTGTCTTTACAATTCACCACTGAAGCTGATCTTGGAGGAGATGTAAAGTTCTTGAGAACTATGACACCTTCCTTGATGAATTTCAACTTAACATCAAGATTAATAGAGAACTAGAAAGAATTATTCTAAAAATAAATAGACAGAATATGTTTATATTATTTAATGAAACGTGCTTCAATGAAGATATAGTGCCCTAAAATAATATATATATATATATATATATATATATATATATATATATATATATATATATATATATATATATATATATATTATAAATTTAATTTACTCAAATTAAAGACATTAGTTCTATTTCATTAAATTAAATTAAAGACATTAGTTCTATTTCATCCTCATGCCAAAATTCGCTTGAGGATGAAATAGAACTAATGTCTTTAATTTAATTGCAAAATTAAATTTGTGGCTTTTAGCTTCCATTTTTGAAACATGGTTAGAACTGTGTAGTGGAAAAAAACATATTTTAAATCAATTAATTTATAATATTAATGCTCTGTAAATTTACATTGAGCACTATTTTGTAAAAATAAAAATATCTATAAGAATACCAGATTATATATCTTACTGTTCTTTCTTTTTATTTAAATACACACACACACACACACACACACACATATATATATACATATATATGGGGAAAATGTATGACAAAGTGGAAAAAGTTTACTTGTGACGTGTTTTGAGCTTCAGGACTTCATCGGACTAAATTTGTTTTGTTGGTACGATTAGCATTTTTTATGTCAAAATTGTGCTAAATCTCATTATGGTGAGCAAACAACACATATATATTGGATAATAAATTCAGAAAAGAGAGATGACATAAGAGTTTATTAATACATGTAATAGAAATAATCTTATCCCTGCAAAAATTTAAAAAATGAACCCAGACTAAATTATTCTTTATGTTTTCCAATATGAGCAACAGAAAAATTAGAAAAATACTATTTTTACTGGCAGCAAAGAAACTGAAAAGTGACCTTTTATATCTAGAATTAAACATCACTGAATTAGATTGTTAAAGATTCTGTTCTCTCCAGATAATATCTGATTCCTTCTGTTGTGCTTTGTCATTACAAGAGTCAGATTAAACCTAAAATGAAATATTGTTGCTGTATCTGGGCTGGAGCTCCTCAGTCCTCACTTTCCAGCTTTGATAAAGTCAAAAATTGTTTACATGCTGTTCTGGAAGATGACTTATCTTCATCTCTGCATCCTTTTTCTCATAGGTGCAGCATTGCATGTCTGTTACTAATCTATCACCATTTCAGATGAGTTCCATTCTTTAGTATCTGTCTATATTTCTGAGATGAGGTATTATGTACTATTTACATTATTCGGACTATTGTCCTCATCTTTGTCGCCATATTTATTACAACATTTTGGCTGTTGTATGCTCCAGCCTTCTTCAGGTAGTTGTAATGTTGAACTGAACCCTTTATTTCGCTCATTGGAGTTGACTGTTCTACTTCCACATGCCATATTTAATGGATGTCAGTTGTCAGTTATCGCCTGTTAATTCCCCTCTCCAAGTTCTTCACTGCCTTAATCGGGTATTGAACTCACACTCTTTTGGTCCTGTCACTGGATCTAACTAACACCTTTATCCACTGTGCCATGTGTCCAAATAATGTAAATAGTCTTCATTCTTTAGTTCTCACAACTGACTTTTATTGCTAAGACACATTATGTTACATTCTGCATTTCAAATGTAAGTTAGCTTTTTTGCCAAGAGCTACTAATTTGTGGAATGGACTCTCACATGGAAACTTCCATGAATACTATATTCTTAACCTCTTCAAATCAAGGATCAATCATTATCTATCCTCCTTATCCTCATATTCTTCACTTCCTACTACCTTCTCTTTCATTACTATCACACACCTCATTCATCATAACCATTTTAAAAGTAACCCTCTATCTTGAGTTGCTCTTGAGGATTACTGGGTGAACTTTGGTATATAGGAAAAAGGACTTCTCCTTTTTTTTCTAAGAAAATTACCATGGTTACTCTATACAAGTATTCCAATTTTAAGTTTTCTTTTTCAATCAGCCAACCCCTGACAATACAGAAGAGCCTACAAATAGGCCAAAATGCTGGTCTTTACAACAAATATTTAAAGGACAAATAGAAAGTAAACTCAGAAAGTTCCTGGATTAGTGTTTCTTAAGAAACTCAATAATTAAATGTAATCCCAAGAGAGAGAGAGACAGAGAGAGAGAGAGAGAGACATGGCAGATTATTTGCTGAGAATCTTTATGCTTGTGTTTCCAAATTTTCTGTTTTTTTATATATTGGTTTTATTTTATTTTATTTCATTTCCCCTACAACATGCATTTCCATTTCTATTATATGGTACAAGCAGAAAGTGTTTCATAACTTTCTGATAAAGCTCATGATTTCAGAGACACGAGTTAAAAAAAAAGTAATGGATAATCTTAGTTGCATTGGAAGGGATAAGGGAGAGAATGGGAAGATACTGGTAAAGGGGGAGAGAAGAGCAGAGGCATGGGATAATGGATAATATTAGTTGTATCGGAAGGGAGAAGGGAGAGAATGGGAAGATACTGGTAAAGAGTGAGAGAAGAGCAGAGGCATGAGGTAATAGATAATATTAGTTGTATTGGAAGGGATAAGGGAAAGAATGGGAAGATACTGGTAAAGAGTGAGAGAAGAGCAGGCATGAGATAATGGATAATATTAGTTGTATCGGAAGGGATAAGGGAGAGAATGGGAAGATACTGGTAAAGGGTGAGAGAAGATCAGAGGCATGAGATAATGGATAATATTAGATGTATTGGAAGGGATAAGGAAGAGAATGGAAAGATACTGGTAAAGAGTGAGAGAAGCGCAGAGGCATGAGATAATGGATAATCTTAGTTATATGGGAAGGGATAAGGGAGAGAATGGGAAGATACTGGTAAAGGGTGAGAGAAGAGCAGAGGCATGAGATAATGGATAATCTTAGTTATATTGGAAGGGATAAGGGAGAGAATGGGAAGATACTGGTAAAGGGTGAGAGAAGAGCAGGCATGAGATAATGGATAATGTTAGTTGTATTGGAAGGGATAAGGGAGAGAATGGGAAGATACTGGTAAAGGGTGAGAGAAGAGCAGAGGCATGAGATAATGGATAATATTAGTTGTATTGGAAGGGATAAGGGAGAGAATGGGAAGATACAGGCAAACAGTGCTGAGAATCTTCATGCAGGTACTCATGAATTTTTTTGTTTTTTGCTGCAGATTGGTTGCTTTGCATGCTCAATATCTTGAATCAAAATTTGACTGTGCCACTCAAAAATCTGTTTTTGACCTATAGAATATTTTCCTAAAAGCTTGATAATGCTTTTCAAGTATCTCTGTAGTAGATTTGCGAAGCTTCTCACAAAGTCTAATGCAGGCACATTGCTAACAAATATCAACCATTGTAAAGATTACGGAGCCATTCCAACACTGTGCTACAAATATTACATAATAATTAAATGCAAATAGATAAGCTAATTGGCTAAGTACCCACAATTGTTAACTTTGTATGTTATAATTACTGTGCATACAGTCTAGAAACTTTCCAATACCACCTCAGCTATGCGTATATGCATAAACAATCACACAGCTATCTATTTAAAGATTATTCAATTTATATGTCTAGCTACTCGACTATAAGCATGCATATATATATTTTAGATATGATAAGAAATGGCACGCCTGTTTTTGCTAAAATGTTTATATTTTAATTCAAATTCTTCGTAAATGTTCCTAAAATTAGTCATTTGGAAAATTGGCTACTCGCACATAGAAAATCTTGTCAGTTACTGTTAGTCAAATATGTCCAATAATTGTATTATTCAAATTAAGACAAACTAGTTAACCCCTTGGCTGTGTGAATGGCTTCTCTTTTGAATGGCTTAGTATACAATCTTCATATTTTTGCTCTTTTTTTATCTGCCATATCTGGTCTGGTGCTTCTGCTATATATTTCAAGATTCTTGACAAAATCCAAAGAAGGGTCTCTAATGTTATTGGCTTTGACCTGGCATCTTAACTTTTGTCACTTTCTTACTGCCAGAACATAGCTTCCTTGAACTGATACATGACCAACCATGAAATATATATGTTACACTAAAACTTATGTATGACCTAAAAAAAATGTACAACAAAAGCTTGACAAATTTTTTCTGAACTCTTGCCAAGCTTCATGCAAAATCTAATGCAGGCACATTGCTAAACAAATAACAAACACTGTAAAGATTGCAGAGCCATTCCAATACAATTGTGAAACATTTGTGTAATAACCAGACACAAGTACATAACATGAAGCCTGTTGGCAGACTGACTCAGATGGATATTAATGAGTGTAAGTTGTTAACAAAGTTTTGGGTTTTGTGTGTATTTTTAGGTGAAGGCGCGTGTTCAATATGTAAACAAAGTATATACAGAAGGAGCATACAAAAAAATCTTGAGTTTCTGTTATGGAAATTTATTCCTTTTATATTGACTGTATTGAAACAAAGTTAAATATCTCTTGAATATGTGTTCTTTTGGGTTTTGAAATAATTTATGGGAAGTAAGGACACAAACAGTTAAGGCTGGCTGAGCTCTAGTCTGAGTTAAAACTAAAGTAAATTTAGGATGACAAAAACGAATGATAAAAAAATGATGCAAAAAAACTGCACTGATTTCATTGTCACAGTATTATGAATAGGAGGTCTTCTTCTAATGGAGAGATATGGGATTTGGATAGATTACAGTGTGTGTTTACCCTCCAAACTCGTTCCCCATTTTTTGAACAGGAGAAGAGGTTTATCCCTTGTTTTCTGTTTTAGATTGGGTTTCCAGTTCCTTTTTCTCATTCTTTTACTCCCAGTAGCCACTTGTATCTTAGTGACATTACTACCTTGAATGGGGTGAAATGATTTAAAAAGAATAACTTTGTATAGAATGTGCCTTTTTAGGCTGGAAAATATGGTACTTTAATAATAAACACCACATCAAAATGATGTAGTTTCTCTGCTACCTTGACAATTTTTTGTGAAAAATAAAGGAAGTGATAACAACAGTCTTAGGATCAATTTGTAACTAATATTTTAAATTAAGTCTGTAAATATAATTTACATTGTGCAAAATACACTTTATCTGTTGTAAAACTTATCTATTTACTTTCTGATGTGGGTTCAGATGACACTATGATTGTCATACTGAATGGTTTCCTTTTCAGTTTAACCAGAAGAACAGTTTGTGGTACCCCCCCAAAAAAAATTCCTTTTGTTTTTATCTAATATTAATCCAACTCCTCTTTCATTTTACTCTTCTCTTGCAGCCATTGATTTTCCAGCTCATTTTACATAGTCCCAGAATGTTCCACTTGTTGCTTTACATTTTCTTACTTTCTGCATTGGTGTAATGTTTGTCCCAATTATGCTCTTATTTTAAGTAACATGAATTGATTCATTTCTTCTTTGATACTTTCTAACATGGATACGTATATCAATATAATTACAAATTGATTGGCTTCTTTTTCACTTTCACCAGATTGATTGAGTGATTTGTTTTTTATGGCTTATGGTATCTTCTCATTCTTTTCCTTATCTCTGCCAATGTTTGTAATCTGTAAATGTTACCTGTCTAGTCTTTTGATATTTAGCAAGAAGGGTTGTGCATAAGAACAGTTATCATATAGATTTTACAAATAAAATAATGTAGTAACTGTTATAAATATTTTTTATCACTGATTATGAAAGTTGGTGGATAAGGCAATGTACCTGTCCTAAAAAATCCTGATTTTTTTTATGTTTTTAGGTAGAAAACCTGGCTACAGATATTGACAATAATAAACTATTTTCACCCAACAGAACCAACTAATTTTGACACCAACTTGCAGATTTACAGGCTCAAAGGTTGCCAACATGCACTGTAACACAACAAATAAACATTGAAATGCTCATACTTCAATATAATTAGGTGTCAATGGGGCAGGTTTTATTTGTGCATAAGTGAATATAATGAACATAAATGGAATTGGAACTGAGCTCTCTGATTTCCAATTCCAAGTCATTATCAATTAAACTACTCTCACAACCAAGCTTACAGTACCTGGTATTGCCAAACAGTCACCCATCTAGGTACTGACCAGGCTCATATAGCTTAACATCAGTGTTTGTAGTGATGTGGGATTTGGTGTATCACAGTGCTTAACTTGATAGAGATAGTAGTATTCAATATTCAGCTACACAAGTCACTGCAATAGAATTATCTCCCTTTGACATTTACCCAGGACTACTTATCATGAATGGATCAGTCCATTCATGATAGTAAGGAAGGTAACTGTCTCTTACCTAAACAGTGATCATATGAGAACTGGTGTTTCAGTGTGATGTGGCATTAAGCCTTCAGTTTCATCAGAATAGTGATAATTATTTTGTCCTCCACATGCGAAGATGACCTTGACTTCGAATCACTTATGTTTGTGAAGATGATTAATGAGTCTAATCTTCATCCTAAAAAATCTGTTGCAGTTGTGACATGGGATGCTGGGGGCTGAACCAGGCTAGAAGGAGGAGCCATCTTGATCTTTCCTTTTCTGGCATTTCTGTTCTTTGTCTCTGATTCTTTTCTCTTCAAAATCAGACACTCCTGACCTTACAAAGGAGTGCCAGATGGCATGATCCTCAGCAGACTCTTCCCAGATAATTACTAGTATACTAAAACACATTTCCTCTTGTCTTTATCTAATATTAGTCCAACTGCTTCTTCATTTTTCTCCACTCCTGTTTCACATTCACAAAATGTTATTAGGGCTTTAAAAATGAACATTTTCTCATTGCCATAACATAGCTTCTTTTCTATAAATACTTTCATGCTAATTGTTCTGATCAATGTTTCTATGTGGTAGCCAGACCTTTTTTTTTTTTAGATTGGCAATAAGGTCTCATCAGTTTACAGTTGAATTGACAACCATAAGTTATATGCTGACTGTTTCTTCTCTTGCACTTCTTCCTTGTGGCACTCTCTTCTGGCTCCATGCTTTCCGGCTGACTTTCAGCTTCAAAAATTTTAAATGCAATGTCAGTTGTTATCTACTGTCTTCTTAAATTCTTTTTTATTGTTCTAATTCTTTAATAATGTTTCTCTTTTTCTTAGTTTTTCACACCCAGTACTGCCTTGTGTCTTAGTGGTGTTACTGCCTTGATTGGGGTGGAATGATAAAAAAAAAATGTATATATAAATATATAAAACAAGTGGGGAGAAAAAACAAAGACACAAAAAATACTCACTGAAAAATTCACAGAATGTAAAATCCATTGGTAAAGTGTTTGTCTCAATTGTTCTCTGCCTAGCTTATCCATCTTTAGATATTCAAACTTGACCTTTGTTTTAGTGTGTCTTTTTTCCAGCCATTGTAACAATTAACGACTGACTACATTGTGGTCATTGCTCAACATTTGTGGAATCATAGTCGCAGATTATAACATTGAACTTTCAGGGTTCAAGTCTCCATTTATGATTACATATTCATTTGATCCATCTTGTATATTTATAAATCTACCATTCGTCTGTGCATTGAATACTGTTGCCATATCTGGTCTGGTGCTCATACTATATATCTCAAGATTCTTGAGAAAATCCAAAGAATAATCTGTAATGTAATCGATCTTCTGTTCTTTCATTGTCCTTTCTCCTCACTTATGTCTTTTTATTCTCCTCCACTCAAAGTAACCCCTGGCGTCTTAGGGGCATTATTGCTTTGCTTGGGGTAAAATGATTAAAAGAAAAACTTTCTGATGATTCATTCTAAAAAAAAAATGCAACAGAATTATAAATATTACTCTTCAAATAGAAAATATATAAAAATAAATCCAAGCCATTTCTGATTGATATTGATATTTACCTCGTGACATCATTCAAGGAGCTATTTAGTATGGGCAGTGAAACATATCAATCAAAGTCGCTTTTAAAAGTCCGTCTGAATAATTACAATGACTAACAAATATAAATATAGGATACTTTTACTACATTTAGTATATTTGCTAGGCATTTTTTTTATCAAACCATATTTGAGTAACAAGTAATATTTTTATTCTTTTTTTGACTTCTGCCTTTGTATTTGTAAGAATTATTAAAATCTTTCAATAGCTAAAGGCTAATCAGAAGTGACAGCCACCACATTTTTAGTTCTTTTAGAACAAAGTATAAATATGATAAATAAATCT